TTGCAAGCAAAGCATTTCCTTGCTGAAAGTAAGTCGGCGCTGAATCTGAATCTGAATGAGGAAAATACAGGCAATTCGAATAAAAACATATTACAGTCATGGATCGAAAGATACAAATATGTATCTACTCCATGTTTAGTTGGAGTATCAAGTACATATAAAGTATCGAGTAGAACACTTGAACATCGTAGTCCTCTTCAAACAAGTTGTAAATAGCATTCTTGAAAATACTTACTTCAAGAGATATTACAGGTAGTTTTAGAAATCTAAGCGTATGATGGTAAAGAGGCTATTAGTATTTAAGATAAGTTTTCTACGTGTTCATGGGCACGTAGAATCAGTCGGCTTTCATCCTTACTACAAAAAAGAAATGCATGGTGGAGACAAGAGAGTAAATTTTACGAATAATGTTACGTTGTGAAAAAACTCATTAAAAACACAAAATGTCGTGGTTAACATTAACAGGAGCAATAACAGTTTATCAAGCTCGAGGAGAGTGTTTGGATGACGTTAATAAACAGTTGCCGCTAAGATCTGCCATTTGGCTATTTGCTTTCATTAAAGAAATTCAAAGGCGGGAACGTACAGGCGTAATCTTCTAGTTTGTGGGACATATTTATTGCCCCGCCCATTAAATAACATGACTGTTGTAATTGGTCAGTTGTAAAGTTTTATCGCCACTATAAAAACCTCAATAAATTATCATTTTCATAGTTATAACTTAATTTAGACACACAATTAAATAAATGCATTTTGTGTAGAGGTTGGGTAAACATAACGGTCTATAAGCTTTGAATTTCTTATGAAAATATGAGTTCAGAAATAATGAACTAGGCTTGAAAATATCGTTAAATGAGTTAAGGTGGGTGAATGTTACCGGAAGATAGTGATCTTGCGCATGTGCAATGTTATTAAAAAATCGCACATAATCAATGTTAAAATAAAATGGTAGTTATATACGGTAGTATATGATTATTCTATTTATTTTATGTTTATCTGAAGTATTTTCTTCCTTAAAATTCGAAAAAAAATTACTATTTAAATAGTCTAGAAAATAATATTCTGTTGTTTACCGTTGTTTCAACTAAACTAGTTGAACAAAAGTCCTGAAAATCCACAGTTATATATCATCAATGAAAGCAAGTCATGATTACAATAACCATCAAATGCTTGAAGGAATCTACACAAATATCTCTATTTTGAAAGTAAATTAAAAGTAGCAGTTTGAGACTAGTGGAGATAGTTATTAACACAAGCTTTTGAGTACACAGTATAATCATAGAGGTGAAGTAAGGGTACTGTGTACAGAAGAGCTTGTATTAATAAAAACAAAAAAAATGTTTGTTTAATCTCAACTAATCTCAAACTGCTACTTTTGGTTTACTTCCAAAAGACGAATATGGTTACCAAATTATTCATTTTTAGGAATTTGGCAAGTAGGATACATGTCAGCAATATAATGTATCAATATCACCATATAAATATATATTGAATATCCAAATTCCACTGCAAATCATAGCTAAAAGTTTTTGAATTTAAAGTACAAATCTTCTTTGCTCGAGTAAATGTTTTCCACTTTAATAATTATAATAATTTACACTTTTCATGTGTATACTAACAGTCAATTTTTGGAAGATTCACAGAAACGCATTAAGTCCGACTCAGTAGCAAACTTTACCTATTCGATTTTTTAATTGAACATTCGTTCTACTAAAAATGAGAATGGACAATAAAGAATGACAAAGATAATACTATAAGCGCAGAAAATGTCGCAAAAAAGGCACTTTATCGGTTAACCTGGGTGGCAGTGGCGTGATTCACTCCAAAATTATTACAGAATATCTTATCTTTGTCGTGTTTTAAATATCTATGAGTCACGTTTCTAAAATAAATAGGTCTACCGAAAACCGTTAACAATTTAAAATGGCAATGGTTAATGAAATTTAGTTAATATTTTCATGATTGTGATTTAGAGTGTTCAAGAAGGAATTCATTGCAACTAAATGGTTGAATGTTTATAAAATGAAACGAAAACAAGAATTGGTTAGATCACGTGAAACCCAAACAGCCGTTAAGGATTATAGATTAGCAAAGGTGAACCAAATATTGAGAAATATTTATTTATAAAAGTTTAAGGAAACCAATCATGAATTTGATGCTCGATCTAATTGCCAAAAATTAAAAGGATGAAAGGAATCATTGCATTAAATTAAACAACAGGCTTCTGTCTTCTTTGTGAGAGCAGATTAAAAATAAACTATAGATAAATTTCTCTTTAAATATGAAAAAGTACAATCAACTAGCGATACATTACTTTTTGTTTAAATGGAAAGCAAGCTTTACAATAATGCTTTAACTACACACGGTATTAAGACGTTTTTAAATAAGATTCAATAGAGTACAAACATCATTTGATGGCCTCTTTGATACTAATAAACAATTTTATTTTTAATAACTATTGAAAAAATACACCCAATTTACATGTAACACTGGTCAGATATATGTGAGAAAATGGTTGTTAGTTTTTATCCGTTTTATTTTATTTGACTCTTTGTTGTATGTGGATACGTGCCGTTGCTAAGGAAACTAATTCTAAACTAGCTTGATCATTCATTTTGGTTTAAAAATATAATAAAGAGGCTAAACACTTTTATATTTTTCCGTTAAAATGTCTAAATTTGGCCAATATTAGCGGCAACGTATAAAAGAAGACACGTGGCATTTTCCAACAAATCACTAAGAATGAATTAAAATTTGTTCTGATATTTAGATTATTACATTTTAGGTAATGCCAAAAAAAAAAATAATAATAATAATGCCAAAATTCGATTCGGACCAGTAATAACAAAATTATAAAACAAATGTGTGAAAAACAAGGATTTAAATCAAATAATGAAAGTTTCGCTACAAAATGCGGTGCTGATAAATAAACTTATTTAATGATTTAGGCAATTCATATACATTAACAAGCATCTAAAATACATCAAACACATCGTCAATCAAATCTGAACATCCTAGTTTAGAATAAATACAGAAATTCTGTATTTATCTCTAGCGATGTATAAATCCGAGTTCTCTCTGCGTAACAATGTTTTAACCTTTTTTGATTAGTTGAAAAATAACGTTTAATCCATTTAGTAGACCTTATTGAGAGATTGTTTTCAGTGACAGTTATAAAACGATATACTATATAAACGTGATCAAACCCACTCAGAAATACTACGACAGATTGTGAGAGTCGATTTATCATTAACTATAAAATCCAATGTTACGTGTGGGTTCGGCAAATGCGCCCTCTGTCTTAAAAATGTAGAGCTTTTTCTCATTAATTTCTTTTTTTAAATTTTTGTATTATGTTATAACAACACTTCTGCTCACTCACAAATTTAAAGAACACCGTTACATTTTCAAACCATAATTCACCTATGCAGCATTGATAATAATATTTGCAATTATATCTTGTTAATAAAAAAAATCTTTAAAAATTAATTAGTTTAACTGTGTATTACTTTTTTACTATACATTATCAAACACTTGGTGACAGCATTCTATATTAATTGTGATAACATATCTAAAATTATCTTTTCAAAAACAGTAAATATGACAGTTATGATAAAATATTGAATTTACTTAACTCTTTTTAAGATAAGCAAAATTGTAACACACAGTGTGCTACTTAATATTTTAACAAATGTATTGATTCCAAAAGATTTATGATTCTTAAGCTCTTACGGTATCAAGTTTAATTGAAAAAAAATAATAAATAGTCCTTTTGAATGAAAACCAAATCGAAAAATTATGAGCCTGATGTGAAGCGATTATGTTCACGGTATTGATTGATTGTGGGTTTGTAAAGAATGAATAATTGCGAGCTGTATTTAGACTGTGTCTGACAAACTAGTCAATCATGTTGAAACAAGTGAAAAAATCATTAGTCTCCACCTTGTAATCTCGTAATTTTGTACGTTAAATCATATCGCTCTG